AATTGCTCTAAAGCAGAAAAGTACTGATCTATATGAATAACCTTTGACCAGTAAGTAACACAAACAGGTTGAGGAAAATTACATATTACATACCTACATACAAATAGAAGTAGTTAGAATTTAAAAACAATATCAGGAAATGGTAATAAACCGGGTACATAACGAACAATGACCTCATTGGAGCATTTCAGAGAATAATTTCATGTACAATAATAATTAACAATTAGCAGCTTAGCTCTGGGCATCCACCATCTCATAAAGGACACGGGGAACCGTTGGAAGCAAGGCGCTTCTAGGTTTAATCAGCAGATTTGGAGGTCATTGGGAAAGTCTTTATTCAGTAGACGTTGTGTGGTGGATCTAGTAATAATAATAATTTGACTATTGTGTTAAATATAAAAGTACTTGTGTGATAAAAAATGGGAAAGCTTTCTTACATTGGAAAGATAAAGAATCAGTAAAGGCCTCTGCCATTGGTATTCTTCTCTGCATCACCCAAAGGTCAGACTGGTAGAGAATGCTCAAAGCATTAAGTCCACCTTGTGTACAATATCTTGTGCATGAAGCTTATAATAAATAAATAAATAAAGTAATGATTGGTCATAGTCAAAGCTAGAAAACAAAAAGTAATACGAAAATAAATAAATACGATGTTGAAATGGCTAATTCGTAAATTGTCATGAAACGACCAGAACCATGAATCGCAGGGTTTGAAGAAACACACTTCGAAATTGTTTGACCGCATAGTTTTCCAAACTAAATATGGCGATCATTTCTGTCAAACCCTGCATTGTGTGGGCGCTGAATTAAATGCCAGAACTATAACATGAATGAAACAAAAAATCAACTAAATACCAGATGATGTAATTTCTATTGACATTAATCTATTACAAGCTGACGCAAGAATAATTAAAGAAACCAAATTACACACATACTATTATCATTTGTTATGCATCCTTCGTATACTATAGACTGATAAAAAGACACTAATTTTGATATGAGTGTCGACAAGTATAAATAATTAGGAAGACTGACTACAGACGATGACTGACTATCGATGTTTGAAACAAACATTATAAAAAATTTACTGAAGAGGAATGAAAATATGTTCCAATAAAACAGTATGTAAGTTTCTGAGAAGATCTAGCACAAGTTTTTACTGGGGAAATTTGATTAGTATCAGGTAGATGATATTTTGAATAGTTGTTCGTAGCAGATTGTAAAAGTAGTGTGATAGTTATCCATCGAAGTGAATAGCACAACATGATTTCCCCAGTCCTTTCATCATTGTACCATGAAATCAGTGGGCATTCTAGCCATACGCATTTTTTTTCGTCTGAAACGCTTGGGTGTAGGTTTTTCTACCTGATCCTGTTTGAAGGATCAAGTAAATAGGTTGTATGGGCATGTGAAGCAAGATAATGGCCAAATTGGCTCATTACCAATTGAAAAAAGTTAAAAGTAAAGTAAAAATAGTAGGAGAGACATTTAAGTGTAATGTTAAAACATATTGTACAAATCGTTATGAAAAGAAACCTGAACAAAATAAAGGAGACAAACACAAGTCTTACACCAACCGCTATGGATGGAGTAGAAACATAAAAATTACAAACTGACTCACAAGATGTACCTATTCGCGAAATGGACCACGTTTTCTTCGTTAAACACATGAGTCATCCAATTACAGCGTGTTTACTTCACAAGTCAGATGCCCCGGAATTTCTTCTCTTCAATGAACGATGACTAAAATAATTTGTATACAATCTTCTTTTAAACAGTAGATATTCTTAGAACCATTGTGTGGGATTAGACGTTTCATTGTAATTAGTATCTATGATGGAAAATATTGAATGAATGACGTCCGCTAGACGGTTTTTCTTTAACAATTTATTCAGTTATGATGGTGACTTACATTATGTTAGAAATGAATGGAACTTTTTGCTTCTCTCTGTGTTTTAAACAGTGCTCATTTCGCGAGGCTTAGTAAAAATGGTCATGACACATCCAAACATTTGGATCCTTATTGCTCTGTTTCTAATAGATAGTGATTGAAGACCACAAAAATCTTCACAATTAGAATATATTCGATCTAAGTACATTTTTTTACTTGCTATAAACTAGTGCTTGACTGCGATCCTACCTGATGGTGAGCAGTGATGCAATCGTTGATGGTAAGGCGCACTAGTTTATTAAGAGCCTATTCACTCTAGCCTTGACTTACATACTGTTCTATGTTCAAAAATGAATATTACAGAAGACATCTTTTGATTCTCCATCGACATACCAACACAGTTGCGAGTAAAGATCTAGCCTAAAAATAAACACTAAAAATTAACAATAACAAGTTCATTGAACTCGACCGTTCTGCGGAGGCCTCGAAAACACAACAACATGAACATTCACCGGAAAAATATAATATGAAAACAATGACAGTGGTTATATAGTTTAATTTAATCTGGAGCATTTTACCGATTGGCGTAATTTTTCGTATTTAACCTTTTTACTTGCATGACTAATATAATAACCAGACGTTTCCTTATTTATGACGTCATATGTCGTATCGTGTGAAACTTGGTTAGAAAAAGTTGCCGAATGATGCAAGGTTTTCAACTTTTTTATAAGTAGGTAGGTACAATCGCCAAAGGCCATGGTTGACCATTTATGAAAAATTTTTGCTTGCATGAGATGACCACATGGCGATCCGCCCCTTTTCTATTTGACCAATTACAGAGAAAGGTCCATTTTTTACTAATGGGCCACCTTTTTGTTTACCCAATTTTATGACTTGCGAGGTTAAGTCAGTTTTTGATAATTTTGTTACTTCAGTTGCAACTTGTGAGTCTTACACCAACAACGTTTTTTTTTATTTTGAGTGAGAAAGTAATTCTTCATTATGAGCCAACACAGAAATCTATCAGTTGTGGAACGGAGTAGCATAATCAATCTAAGAGATTCTGGGTTAAATATATCAGAAATATCGAGAGAATTGAATATGTCGGTGAGTATTATTTATTATAAATTATTTGCTCAATATCTATGCACTTCACAATTTTTAGAAAGGGTCTCAAAACTTCCCCTAGCTGAGTGGATAAGACAACACAGCTTTTATGAACGGTCCATTTATCCTTGTAAAAGTAAATTAATGTTTAATATTTTTATATCCAGTAATTATGAAATGACTTACTTATTTTTTTTTTTCAGTTTGTGTTAATTTTTTGTATGAACTCTTAGATTAGATTCCTCAAACATTGAGCCATAAAATGTTTTTTTTTTTTTCATTTCAGCGAAATACGGTGAAATTATGGCTTCGCCGATTCGACAGCGAGGGGAGTCTAGAAAGGATGCCACGTATGCCGCAACCGAGCATACTCACACAGGAACGTGTGCAGCGTATGGTCTCAGTTTATGAGCAGCATCCATTCACGCCTACTCGCCTATTTGCCGAGGAGTTTGACTGCACAGCTCAAACCATTAGGAATGGTCTACGGCGTGCGGGAATAAGGAATAGAAAACCAGCGAAAAAGATTTTACTCACTGAAGCCCATAAAACAGCTCGTGTCCGATTCGCTCGAGATTACAGGGACTTTGATTTTTCACGCGTCATATTTACCGACGAAAAGAGCTTTAAATCAAGTCAGATAGGCCGACGACATTTATGGCGTGTGAACAACACCAGATACGAACCTAGGAATGTCCTACCCAACAATGAGTCTGGGCGGGTGGTCGTCAACATGTGGGCTTGGATGAGTGCAGCAGGCCCCGGGGAATTGGTTTATATCCCCGGAAGAGCAACAGGGGCAACCTACTTGGAGCTGTTGCAAGACACAATGTTGCCTACTGTGAGAGTGGTTTATCCAGAGGCAGAACATCCTGAAATAACTTTTATTCAGGATAACTGCCCGATACACCGGTCTCGCATAGTGCAGCAGTGGATTGACCAACAGCCCAATCTTCGAACTGTGCCCTGGCCTTCGCGTTCTCCGGATTTGAATCCCATCGAAAATTTGTGGGCTATAATGGTTCAACGATGGGATTCAAGATCTGAGAGAACAAAAGAGGCGTTAGTTGCACATGTTGACGAGGTGTGGGAATCGCTCCGAGGGTCGGATCTGTGCGAGTCCTTAGTAAAATCCATGCGAAGCAGATGCGATGCTGTAATAGATGCAGGCGGAGCTTTAACAAAATATTAACCGCAATATTTTGTTAAAGCGTAATTGTCGCGTTTTTAAAACTTCTACGATTAATATTTATATTCCTCTATCGCTGGTTTCCTATACCTATCCCGCACCTTAGACATATTAATTACAAAGAAAATATTTCAATCTTGTAATAATTCTTCGTATCGTTTTCTCTCTTTTACTTCAATGTAATATCACAACTTGAAATTTTAATATATTTTTTTTAAGTAAGTAGAATATGAGTTGAGTTTGTTAGTTGTAGTATTTAGTATGTAAAAGTATTTTTTGTTTGGAATATGTATTATACTAATTTTAATGATCCTTATTAATGACTTTAAAACTATGTTTTAGATAGGTAGATAGATCGATATTATGTAATAAAAGTGTAATATATTTTGCTGTGTAACGAATGTTTTCTTTCCTTATCTAAATTGTATTGTCAGTAAGTTGTCTTTTAGAGATTGGTTTCGTGTTAAATTATATTTAAATTATACCTACCTTTTTTTCTTATATTTTTTATAATAAATAGTACGGAATAACGTTAAAATACTTCTTTTCTTAAACCTATAAGCAATAAAAAAATCAAAATAATCGCTGGATATACGCTGACTTCTAAAATTACTAAGTATCTGCTAATAATTTAATTTTGACACGACATGCTGAGTCACCGACGCTTTGTAGTAACTATAATTTCTATATTATAAATTGATGATAATGTTAAACAAGTAACACAACTATTCCTTTCTGTCGTATTACTTAGAGAGTTATTGTTTCGGTAAAACAGTTACAAACTCTAATACCGAAACAATAACCAGACAACATCTGTTGTAAAAACCATCATAAAATACTAGACATCGCAAAAAATATGCAGTGAAAACTTTGCGTTACCGGATAACTTTAGTATGGTTTATTATTGTAATATAAAAAATAAGACATCTGTTCGGCCAATATCCCTGAGAAAAAATATTCTTTAACTATCTTTTTCGGAGCATAACATTATTTATTAGTATATTCTTTTCTGCTTACGCAACTCACTTATTTCCTTGTAAAGAATGTCAATGGTATTATGTCACCTACTTGTAGTTTAAATTCAATAAAATAAATAAATAAACCATATTGTGTAAATGTGTATGGCATGCCTAATATTATGAAATAGTATTCTGGAATTGTTGTGGCAAACTTTTTCAACAACTCCTTTACTTTCCTATAAAAAGTTATCGTATATTCATTCACACATAACAAATTAATTTTAGAATTCGAACTTATCAGATTTTATTGTTTCGAGTACAAACTTCTTAAGGTGGTGAAAAGTGGTTTCCTAATCACTTGAAGTGCAACTAATAAATTTCATATATTATTGACCCTTGAACAGAAGAATAACTTTTGTAACAGAAATATTAAAAATGTTTGGTCAATATTGTCAGTATTTCGTAAGGTTTTGCTCTGAAAGGTCATAGTTACCCTTTCAATGTTCTTTGTGTAGTTTTAGTGTTTTCAGTAGATAGTGCTCTTTGATTTAGTGATATATTAAGTATCGTAGTTTATATTAATTAGGTAGCGCTTTTTGATTAAGTGATCTGGTTTAAGTTTTATATAATGGATGACATTTTTATGGACGTAGACAGATTTTTAAGTGTAGATGACTTTATAGAAATGTTCGAAAACGGACAAATATGGCCATGGGGTGAAACCCATTTCATTAAACGGGAACTTTGTCCTGGGTGCTACTATCCAGTGCCTGATTATTTGCCAGAACATTTTATCATAGATTTTAGCATAAACAATAATATTTTAGCAGTTATCAGTGAGGAAAACTTTTTTTTTTGTGTAAATTGTCCAATGGCCGTCTATGACCACTTTCCCCCGGATGAGTGTGAAGCATGTGCTTCAAATGAATAAAATAAGAAATGGTAAGTAAAGTTTAATTAAATATAATATTTTTAAGTGTGGCATGCCCCGCACACTCTACATTCACATCGGCGCCGGCGTCGCGAGAGATACCGTTGTAGCCGGCTTCGCCGCTGCAGCCGCGACAGCCGCAGCGAAGGCGGCGGAGCACGGGCACCCTCTTGAGGGCCCGGGTCGCTCGCCGAGCAGGATATTTCCGACCCAACTAATGACGGCGGCAGCGACCTAAGAAAAAATAATACAGTTTTAGAATTTAAAATATTTAATTTTCAGATTACTAAATCATTCAAATACAGTTTAACTTTATTAATCTAGTAAGTCGCGAACAGAGTCTAGTTTAAAAATAATATCATAATTCTTCATTTGCTTTAAATAAGGGTTGAACATTTGTCTATAAAAAAGTTTCTTACTTCTCTTTAAAATAAATCATAACTTAATTATACAAACATTGATTCGGTGTCGCTACTGCCACTCGACCTCGACAACGACAGCGAAGGTGATGATGGCCACGGCTGCTGGTGCTGTTGGCACTGCAGCCTGAAAGATAACAGTTTTTAAATTATGCTTTAGACGAGTTATAATAACGTCTAGGCAATAAGAGAAAACGTAAAGTTCATGATTATATTCTTTTATCATAAATATTTTGTAAAATAATTATCAACATTATATCATACCAGTCGTCAACTGCATCCTCTGCTTCCTCCGGGCTGCGATTGCAGCAAGTGAAAATTGATCTGTAAAATACTCATCTACTTATATACTGAGATATAAAAAAAATATTTAACTTTTTTGGTTTTCATGGCAAAACCGGGAAATATATTTTTTATTATAACAAATACTAAATAAAACAATAAAAAATTTAGTTTAAACAGGAGTCGACCTGGTCTTAAAAGCTGTCAAGCACTTTTCCTGATAAAGACTGACGGATAAATATTATGCTTTACATGTAATATCGTATAAAAAAAAATATCAAATAAATTGTTTAAGCTAACTCACCGCACTCCAGCTAATACAGCTTCATATATTCCCCTAGCGCACATCGTGTTATCCGCACCGTGACTAGGAACACAATTCGGGACTCGGTCTCTCAAATTGAAAACATGCTTATATAAACAAACTCTTACTTACCATTGTCAAAGAACAAGCCGCCAAAATGTTTGACTTGTATATAATTATCACAGATTTATCGTTTATATCGGGTACAGTTCTCACCCACTTTAACTGTAAGGCTAAAATAAAGCACACACTGTAGTTTGTAATTGAAACCTTTGTTATAATAACGGGGTCAGTTAGGAACGAAACATAAAAACTTTACAAAGTGTGCACTTTGTTTCTTTCAAAATTGACCACATGTTGTAGCTATAGGTAGAAAAAATCTCTTAACTATCTTAGTTTACAATTAGGCAAGGTTTTTTTAGTTTTCGAGAAAGATTCATGGAACCCTTGATTGTTTCACGGGATTCGAACTCGAACGTTAGACGAGATATTTTTATATGACTATCCTGTCCTAATTTAGATTTTCTTACTTACGTAGGGAAGAATGTCATTTTAACATTAATTAGGTCGCTATAGTAAGATATTGTGTTTATGTATAATTTTTATTATATTTAATAGGCTAACGCTTGCCTACAATCGCACTCGATGGAAAGTGTCGATGAGGTCTACAATGTTATGCGTTTGCCTAATGTTGGTGTATTGTATAGAAAAACAAAAATGTTTTTTTATCATAAAATTAAATTTATCTTAGTATAGCTTTTTAAATACTAAAAACTATGGTAAGATAAATTTAATTTTAAATTGATATATATTGTTAAAGTCAAGAGAATTCGTGTTTTTGCTAAATAGTCTTACACTAATTCGTAACTTTCACTACCTACTCTTTTTTCTACAACACGTGTAAGTAGTAAAATCTTTTCGTTTATAGACAAATGCTCATTTTTTTTATTTCTGCTGAGCAATGAAACGTGATTGGTCATCTTTAACTAAAAGGGCGGGATCACTTCTCACTCAGTAGAACGGACTTGCAAACGAAAATCGCCTTTAAAATGGTCAACGATGGCTTTTGTCGATAGTACGTACTATTTTGATTCCGCCCAGACTGCGGCGTCCATTTTATTTTTATATTCGAATTTTGAATAGCGATCGATCTTATGCATATTTTGAGAGAATGCCGTCTGCGTTATATGTCAAATATAGGTATTTAAATAACGAATATACCTACACAGTTATACTGTTATTATTTTACATAGACAAAAATACCATACGGTTGTTATTGAGTCTGTATTTACATTGTGTTTCAATTCAAATAGGTATATAATGTGAGACCTCTTACTACATGAGAATATAACTATAATAATATATCCAACCTTGTGTCTTTGCTCGATTTTTACTGCCAAGCTAGATCCTACTTTTGGTTGACTTTCATTCACAACAAGACCATTTCTTATTGAACTTAATATTCAATATTTTTAAACATGTCATCATAACCTTTTTAACCTAACGGCGCGGTACCTAGATTTTTAGAGTGAAAGACTTACACACGGTTTCCGAAAGGCCGATCAATGTTAAAATCAATTTAATTTCTTGTCAAGTCTTCTGATTGGTTTACTGAATAATTTATCAACAACCAATCAGATGACTTGACAAGAGATTTAACAGGAGATTAGTTAATTTTAGCGTTGTCAAGCCTTTCAGAAACCGGGCGTATAACGAACGGAATTTTTACCTAGTAAAGATACCCAAGTGGCTACCCTCAGCACTTATGGTGCAACCTCCGGGAACTGTTACAGGAGCATTTATAAAGATTAAAGATTAGGTCGTTGATGTAGGATGTCTTTCATGATATCCATAGTGATGATTAGAAACTATGCAATATGGTGAAATTTTTCTAATTACATATTTGAAATCGCCATTTCACCTTAAGTGAGCGTTGTGGTTAATACTCAATTCTTCTCCGTGTAGGAAAGGCTTTTCTCAGCCAGATCATCATAGATCATCAAACAATGAAAGATTTGTTTGTTTGTTAATTTGAATAGATTGGGCTCAGAAACTACTTGACCGATATGGAAAATTCTTTCACTGTTACAGTTGCGAAGCTACGATACACTATCCCTGATGAATGATGAAATTTACTGGCTATTAACTATGCGGTTGAAACCGCAGGACACAGCTAGTTATTCTATAAGATATTTAATAAATAGTACAATCAAAATCATAGCCCATCTAAATCCTGTGTGCAACTGTGACTAGCCCGGCGGGTGGTACCACTACCCACAGAATGTCGCAAGCGCCGACAATTTCGTTACATTGGCCAACCTTACCTCATTTCACGTAGATTGTGTAGCCGATGCTTCCACTTGCTAAGAAAACAAGTTATATTTACAACTGTTTTAGGTTTTTTTGTAGACTAGATTTTGTAGGTAGTTTTATATCTTAGTATATAATTTTATTTTATATATTTTTTTTGCTTTTTGTGTAATTAATTATAAAATTTCTGTTTTATTTTTTATTATTATTTTAAAGTTCTTTTTATAACTAGGTATTAAGCAAAAAAAAAAAACAATCTCTGATTATTTATTTTTAGTTATTTTTCACTCATTTTTCAGTCTAAGATTAACTTCATTGGGGTCTAGCTATTAACTTCATACAAACCAATGTCAACCAAATCGGTCCAGCCGTTTTCGCGTAAAAGAATTACAAACATACATCCATAATTTCTTACAAACTTTCACATCTATAATATATGTAAGATAGAAGGAGGATTATATGCAATTGTGCAATTTTATAGAAGTTAAAAAGCAATGCATTAATTTACACAAATGCTTTGCATTTTAGGTGAGAGTAGAAAGAGTAGTGGTTAGGCAAAGAACTTCTCAAAAACGATTAACATATACACATTAATTATGTTTAAATAACTAAAAACACAACTACTATCAAGATTAGTATGTTGAAAGTGAGAAAAGCGTAGTAACTGTTCACTTCTCAGGGAAGTAGGAAGTACCTGCAGGTGTAGATGTGAGATCGTGGTACCTCATTAGCTATACTTTGTCGCTCATCTTCACATAATTACATTTGATTATTATACTTACTTACGTACTATTATGGCAGAAACGTGTAATAATTACCTACTATGGTTAATTTTTTTAAAACTAGATCCCGGTCGCGGCTTCACCCTCGTGGTATGGTGATAAAAAGCAGCCTATCCAGGGCAGGTATCGCCTATCTAGGTGCATACCAAATTTCAACCAAATCGGATCAGCCGTTTTGGCGAACAAATAAATTTTGAAAAGAAAGGTGAAAGAATAACAAACAAACAAACATACATATATACATTCTCACACAAACTTTTACATTTATAATATAGAAGATTAAAAAACATCGTTGCACTTTAGGATTATCTCCTGTGTCGTGTATACAAAGACATATTTTCAAATTTTTCACACTGTCAAAGTCAAATTTTATTGAATTGTCTGTCAGTCTGTTTGTCGATAAAGTTAATCGCTCGTTCCAAATCATAACCTATATAATTTCGTCTGCATGGTAAATCACAATAAACACCGAGAACACTAATTTGAATCAAAGTTTTTCCGAGCGGGAAACCTACCCTGCAGGTCCCTGCCGGCCGCCAATCCACCGACAACATAGGCCAAAAATAGGGACTTAAACCTACATTCTGTCTATGCCTTAAAACCTCCTTTTTGTACTCCCTAACAAATAAACTTGATTTAATATTACCTATATAGGTACTATATTGAGCACTGCAAAGAAAGCAACTTGCTTAAGCGGTGTATCTTACTATCTATCTAGATCCACAATATAAACCTTTCTAATATTAGTAATAATAAAGCACTTTCTCAATACTTATCTTATCTTGAAAACTATAACTCTTAGTCTAATATTAATAATGGCTAATATGTAACACGAAGTTCGCACCCCGACTGATCTACGATAGCCGATAGAAAGTGATATAATTCACAGCTTATCTTTAGTTGTAATATAAACTTAATTGTGTGAAGGTTAAGATTGGTTTTAAGGTGTCTCTGCTAGTTTTAAATCTGTTTTGTATGTGATTGGAATAATTTATAATATCTATTTCACTAATATGTAGGTACTAGGGTTTGTTTCATAAGTCTTCATTCTCTCTTCTCTTTTAAGTTATCTTCTTATTGGGGGCTAAAATGCTAGTCAATTAATTAATATTTATATTTGTGCGAAAAATAACAGTATAATTAAGTTCTTATTTAGGCAAAGCACTGCTTCCAAGATACTTTCTCCTCCCAATGTGACAAAGTCTTATAAATAAGTATATACATATAATAAAATTAATGGTCATTCAACCACAATCCCTAACAACGGACACAAATTCACAAGAACTTGCTTATCAATACCAAAACCTCACACATACTATCGATTCGTAGAAAAAAAAGTTTATTCAAATAAATAAGCGCCCAAAACGTGCAACGATGACGAAATCTTTAGACTCTCGCGTCCACAGCATAATATTCTAAGAAATTGATTATTTTCGTACAAAAATAGGGCATGGTATATACGCAACGAGTAAAAATAAATAAATGAACCATCTGCCGTACTACTTGATGCACTTACGTCATTTTACTCAAAGAAAATGTATCGGAGAATGTATCAATACTTGAGACACGTATCGTAATATTTAGGTGCAATTTAGACAGAACATTTGATTCATACGAATAAAATTCTAATGTCACACCAACTTAAAGTTCATTCTTCTTTGCGGTTCTGTTGCTTTTCAGTGACCAATGACTGTTCCCGAGAAAGTTTTATAAGGATGGGTTCTTCCAGAAAGAGAATTATGTATGCCTCAGTCAATCAAATTTAGAACCTCATTAAGTGTAAATCTTTTAATTAATATCACTAGATTGATCGGCAGATAATTTAGAAAACAAGATTCTCATAAAGCTCATACCCATTGTTCTAATTAATGTATTGTTAAGCTTACTAAGACACATGTAGATACCAAGGTTTTACAACTATGAAGTTAATCATATGTGAACAACAGACGTCC